CGGGTGTAATCGCTTTACAACCCCCCCCCCCACCCCCCGTCTGATCGCTCTCCACCGTTGTAGAGCCACTTCCGTTCGGAAGCCAAAGGCTTCCGATTTTCGCCCACCATTTTTTTTTTAGGTCGGCAATATGTGCTTGGGCGAAGCTTCACTCCGGCGTTTCTTTTAAAAAAAGAAAAGGTCCTTAGCTTAACGTTTTAGAGGAGTCCGGGACCTCAGGGAGGTCAGTTTGCTCTTTAAACGTTAAAGGTAAGTCCGCTCTTCAGGGCATGCTTTTCTGGACGGGGTGTTCTGCGCATGCACGAAAATCGCCATTCTGTGGATGGCTGCCTATGCGCATGCGCAAACTGAGTTTTAAAAAAACACAAACCACAGATGCCCGCTGTGTGTGAACAGGCATACAGCGATGGGCTCCGCAGACAGGAGGTTAAGTGTGATCGCGTTTCAGCCGGCATAAACTGCAACGGTTCCAACCGGTACAGTTTATGCCGGCTGAATGCACCCATACAGTGGTATCCCCCGCCTGTACGCACAGGAGTGGAAGCTGGGCAACAAAGAAAGCAGACAGGAAGGAAGTCGATTCCCTTTGAAACGTGGTGCTGGGGGAGAGCTTGACGGATACCGTGGACCGCCCAAACGACAAGACGGTGAGTTGTAGACCAAATCAAGCCTGAACTCTTCCCAGAAGCTAAAATGACTAAGCCAAGGCCATCGTGCTTCGGTCACACCGTGGGAAGACGAGAGTCACTGGAAAAGCCGATCATGCTGGGCAAAGTGGAAGGCGAAAGGGGAGGGATCGACTCAGCCAAGGAGGCCACAAAGGCCCTCGGCTTGCCAGACCTCAGCAAGGCTGCGGCCCAGACGGGCTCATCGGCTGGCATGCCAAAAGCCCAAGAATGAACACAGCCCGCTGAGGTTCCAAAAGCAGGCGGAACATTTTCTTGCAATACCCAGGTGGCCGGACTCACCCAACCGCCTCAGACCGCAGGGGGCAAAACAGAAGAGCCCCAAAGGAGCAGAGGCGCAAAAACAATACTGCGAGCGGAATCAACAGCGGCAGGCCACGTTTTACATTCATTGCCCAGCTTCCACTCCTATGCGTACAAGCGGGGAATACCACTGTATGAGTGTTCTTGCTCTTGGTCACCAGCAACACATCCTCACACTTAAAAATCTTGGGTGAACCACCATTACGTTTGGTGTAGCGGTTAGGAGCGCGGACTCTAAATCTGGGGGATCCGGGACTGGATTCCCCCACGCCTCCCCCATGCGACCAGCTGGTGTGACCTTGGGTCAGTCACAGTTCTCTCGGGAGCAGTCCTCAAAAGAGCTCTCTCAGCCCCGCCTACCTCACAGGGTGCCTCTTGTGGGGAGGGGGGTGGGAAGGATTTGCTAGACATCTTCCACGAATTTATCTAATCCCTTTTTAAAGCTATCTATTCCTGTGGCCATCACTACATGCTCCGGCAGTGAATTCCTCCTTTTAAATACGCTCTGGGTAATGTAATATTTCCTTTGGTCCGTCCTGAACCTACTGCCCGTCTCCCTAGCCGAAACCTCCCTGACTCAGTTTCCTTCCCACAGTGAAGAGCAGCAACACGGAAGTCTCTGCCTCGCTCCTTTCTCTTACTTGAGTCCGACCAGATGTCATAGAACGCCCTGGAGGGACTTGTGGCGCTTCCGGGTCCCAGGGAAGAGGTTTTTTCCGCCGGTGCTTTCCGCAACCTCTCCTGGAGGAGCCTCTCCTTCCGGGGCACCACCCCCTTCTCGGCCAGCTTCTCCCACAGCTGCTGCTTCCGCTTCAGCTTCCTGGCGTTGGGGACTTGGTGGGCGAGGATGCTGGGGAGGAAGACGAGCTCAGGGTCACGGAGGAGTCTCAGAGTGGCTTACAAACTCCTTCCCCTCCCCCTCCCCACAAAAGACACTCTGTGAGGCAGGCAGGGCTGAGAGAGCTCTGAACAGAGACTGCTCTTTTTCAAGGACAGCTCTTATCAGAACTACGGCTTGCCCAAGGTCATCCAGCCAGGTGCATATGGAGGAGTGGGGAATCAAACCTGGCTCTCCCAGATTAGAGTCCATGCACTTAATCACGACACCAAACTGGAGAAGGGGAGACTGGATTTATACCCCGCCCTTCACTACCCGACGGAGTCTCAGAGCGGCTTACAAACTCCTCTCCCTTCCCCTCCCCACAACAGGCACCCTGTGAGGCAGGTGGGGCTGAGAGAGCTCTCGACAGAAACTGCTCTTTTTCAAGGACAGCAGTGCCAGAACTATGGCTTGCCCAAGGTCACCCAGCCAGGTGCAAGTGGAGGAGTGGGGAATCAGACCAGGCTTGGAACTGTAGCAAGTTTAACTTTTCTGAAGTTAATATTGTTCAGAATATGTTAAATGATATCTACATGCCATGTTCCCTGCAGGCTGAGTGAGTGTGAGCCAGCTCACAGTTTTTGAGCCTCCGGCTCACACATTTTTATCTTAGCTCAGGAAGGATGGCTCCAGAGCAAACTAATTGATGCAGCCGCCAAATCGCTCGCTCACAACTTTAATGCCGGGAGCTCACAAAGTAGAAGTTTTGCTCATAAGACTCCACGGCTTACAGGGAGCATTGCCTATATGACTATGTCATGTGAGATGCGCTTCTATTTCTGCAAGTAAAATTTCTTTCTCGTGTTCCCACTGGAGTCAGATCATCTTTGTCATTTGCCTGAACAGGATTTTCCCCTTAACTGGGAAACATGATGGGCTGGGGATACTACGTAAAGCTTCTGTGCTGCCAAGGCAAATGATTTTAAACATTTAACCCAATAAAGGGATCTTATTGGCAGTCAATTTCCAGAAGAAAGAGGCCTCGGAGAAGGAAGGCTGCGTGCAGAAGTGTGCCGTCCTTCAAGGAAGATTCCACAGGGCTCTAGAAGGTGCTTCTAAAGGATCTAGAAAGCATGTTTCGTGAAGAAAAATGGAAGGAACTTGCCCTCAAAGAAAAGAGGGGGAAAGGTAGACAATTTTCTAACCATTATGTGGCCAAAAGGGAAGACAAGCTCTTCACTATCAGACAAAGATGAAAGCTTTAGAAAAGAATCAAAGTTATGTTAGTCAAGTATTAGATGCACGTTTCCTGAAAGCAGCTTAGCAAACCGAGAGCTGAAGGAAAGCATGGGAGAGCTACTGGGTAGGAAAAACCCCCCCCCCCCCACCGCAGTTTGGACCAAGCCACACCCTCCCAGTTGTCTCTCCAAGTGACGAGCTCCCTTTGTGCGACGTGCAGCAGAAGGAGCGAGCGACAGGGGTCCCTGGGAGAAGACGGGGTCACTCACTCTTTGGGGGCCGGCACCTTGGAATCTATCTGCAGGATCAAGTCGACCTTCAACGGTTTCTCTTTGGCACGGTTCTGTTTGCGGTCTGGGACAAAGACGGGACAGACTCGGTCAAGAAAAGCACAGCCAAAAGACAAAGACAGGAGCAATAAAAGAAGCTGAAATCAGCACTGACTCGACTCCCTTCCCAGAGGAACCGGGAACTTTGGCACCTGCCCTCTCCCCTAACTCACTAGCCTTCTTGCCAGCAACTAGTCCTGTGACTGTTCCAGTGCAGCCACCCAAAGAGGACTGCTGAGAAATTACGGCCAACACCCGGTCAGCGTGCTCTCCTTCAGCCTTCGAGCTGAAGGCTACGGATGAACGATATCCTCAAGGGACATATCAAGCTGTCTTATATCAAACCAGACCCTCGGTCCATCAGGGTCAGTCTTGCCTACTCAGGCCGGCAGCCGCTCTCCAGAGGCTGAGGTCTTTCCCATCACCTCCTGCCTGGTCCTTTGAACTGGAGATGCCGGGGATTGAACTTGGGACCTTCTGCATGCCAAGCAGATGTTTTTCCACTGAGCCACAGCCCCTCTCCATGGCTCTCCATGTTCTCAGGCTGAGGTCTTTCCCATCACCTCCTGCCTGGTCCTTTGAACTGGAGATGCCGGGGACTGAACCTGGGTGCCAAGCAGATGCTCTACCACTGAGCCACGGCCCCTCCCCTACGATGGCCTCCAGTACCAGGACGACAGAGTACACGCAGCTCCTGGGTCATTCAGTGCAGCCATCAACTGATCCGCATCCCTCAAACCCAGCCTCCCGTCTCTCCGATTCCGCACTCTTACCCGCAGTGACTCACGTACACACACACACGGTTCCGCAGCAAGTCCTCACCTTTCTCCTCATCGCCGGTATCCACAAAGAACAAGCTCTCATCCGGCTTCTCTGACACGGGGCCACTGGAGAGAAGAGAAGAATCAGAAGAGTCATTCAACGCCCATTTTGGCTTTCTATACCAACAACTGTTCTCGGCATGTATGCATATCTATGAACTAGTGACTGCTAAGGAAGACCCATTCGCCTGGTCTTGTTCATTGAGTTTGTGGCCTAATTTGTATGGCATCGACCTGTGGATATTGGTTTGTGTTAATTAACGTACACTGAGGCCTGCTGAGGCTGGTGCCAGGGATCGAAACTGGGACTTTCCTTGTGCCAAGCAGAGGCTCTTCCATTGACCCACGGCCCCTCTCCACGGCCCCATAAAGCTGCTTTATACTGAGTCATGAACACCCATAAAGCTGCTTTATACTGAGTCAGACCCTTGGTCCATCAAGGTGAGTACACTCTATTCAGTCCAGCAACAGCTCTCCAGGGTCTCAGGCGGAG